TAGTGAAGTTGAAATTAATGTTTGAAATTAATAATATAAGGGACAGTAAAACTGGAAAGCAACAGAAGTATAGAAACATGAGATGCTTGATTAAAAAGAGGAAGAAATGAGAATAGGGGAAAATAAATGTGTTAGAAAGCAGACTGAAGGGAGCTGCTACCACATGTAGGTCTTGTCTCACCTGTGGAGCTGTGCCACTTTATCAGAATGGAGACATTTTCCAGGGACCAAGCCTGGCAGAGTACACGGCATTCTCCGTAGCCAACGTGACCAAAAAGACAGGGATGTTTTACATATTGTTCTTTCCCATATAGGTTTTTTCCCCAATTTTTATATTATAAAAACTTTTGAAGCACAGAGCTTACATTGCACAGCTGTTAACATTTGCCATATTCTAAGTGATCATCTATTTTAAATAGTAGTTGATTATAGTAGTCTTTGATGCCCCTGGTGCTTAAATATTTGTGAGAATAGCTCAGCACTGTCCTCTCTAAATGTAAAACTGGATTAAGATTCCATGTTTCTGTCTTAAAAATTGGTGTGCATTTTGCAATATAATTCCTATGCTGGTGTTATTTACATATATATGTAGTATATATGACATATAATCACGTTATATTACATATAATTACATTTTCATTCTGGGCCTTGAGTATGCTTATTAAATGGCTGTGTGCCCTTTAGGGTTACATGTTCCCTGGTTGTGGAGCAGAGAAATTGATTATTCCAATGTAATGGTGCAGGGAGTTCCTTAGATACAGGCTGCCGGGTCTAGCTTTGTTATCTTCACTTTCTTGGAAGCCTTGTGTTGCTGAAGTTCAGTTATGTATTTGTGTACTTACTATATTACGAGCCTCTCTGAGCATGTGCACAGTTTGAGAGAAGCCTTAAGTTTTAAGGATGCTCTATTGAGTAGGTCAGGTGAGGGAGGTGGCATGGGGGAAAGGAAAGTTATTAATACATGTACAATTGCTAGCCCTTTATTGCCTAAGCTGTGATTTACAGATAGTGAACACATTGGAAGTTGAGAACGTACTTGGTCCTTTTTGTAGCCTTGTACTGTGCTCTTCAGAGCCTTGAATGTGCTTCTCTTAGTTAACATTTTGTTTCTTACAGATTGTTGTGCTCGATGCTGGAAAACATTTTGAAGACAAGACTCTAAACAGTGACCTAAGCCACACTAGCTTATTAGAAAATGAGAAACTTGTGTTACCGACAAGCTTGGAAGATTCCTCTGGTACTGCGAGTACCCTGTGTTTCCCTGCTCTTCACCACTCCACTTTCTTCTGCTTTGTTGCAGTAGTTATTATGCCAACTGTTTGGGTTTTTTGTCCTTACCTTTTCTTCCTACCTGCCGGCACTCAAATGGCCACTTCTATTAAGTGATGGAATTCAAGAATTTATTTCTATATATCTATCCTGATATGATTGTAGTCATCCTCAGTTTAACATTGTTAGAGTATAAAGTAGTCACCTGGAGGTGCCATTTGGTATATAGCACTGTGTTTAGAAATTGGGGGAACCATGAATTTTTTTTTTTTTTTTTTGAGATGTGGTGTCGCTCTGTTACCCGGGCTGGAGTACAGTGGTGTGATCTTGGCTCACCACAACCTCTGCCTCCCGGGTTCAAGTGATTCTTCTGTCTCAACCTCCTGAGTAGCTGGGATTACAGGTGCCCACCACCATGTCTGGATAATTTTTGTATTTTTAGTAGAGACAGGATTTCACCATGTTGGCCAGGCTGGTCTGGAACTCCTGACTTAAAGTGATCTGCCTGTGTTGGCCTCCCAAAGTGCTGGAATTATAGGTGTGAGCCACCGCGCCCAGTCAGAACCATGAAATATTTGGCCTCTGCTCTCAGACACCTTAGGTGCAGAGAAGAGCCAATTGTCAGATTGGGTTGCATAAACCCAACAGGCTCCAAGTGTGCCTGGGAATTATAGGGGGTGAGAAATTAACTCTGATTGAGGCAGGTACTGAAGCTTTCTAGAAAAAGGATGGAGCTTGTGCCAGGCCTTAGATATGGGAGGTGGAGGACATGTCAGGAAGCAGGAACAGCATCAGCAAAGGCCCTGCTGTAAGCACGCGGGTTGTGTTTTGGGGAACAGCCAGGGGTTTTGTGTGGCAAGTTTACAGCACCTGTAGGAGGCCACATTGGTAAATAAGCCCAGAAAAGTGTGAAATGGGGCCACATTATGCATGGCTTTGAAAGCCAGGCTGACGAGCTGAGTCCGCATCACGTCCATGGAGAGCAGGTTTTGCCACCAGAGGAGTTTTCAGACGTTTTTGGATTTTGGAATAGTGGGTAAATAATTACTGACCTGAATGCATCCACCCTTTGAGTGCTTTGGTATGCTAGATTCTTGTAGACAGAATTGCTGAGACATAGGTGATGAGTGTTGTTGAGACTCTTAATGATTGCAAAATTGACCTCTAAAATGACATTGCCGACTTAGAAGACCAGGACTGATGGAGAGTTCCTGTTTTATTTGGTGCTTGCTGAGCTGGGTGTTACAGCGTTGAAAACCTCTGCAGGGCCTTTCGCCTTCCCTCCCTCCTCCCTCTTTCCTCCCTTTTTTTCTTTTACTTCTCCTGTGATAGGCTCATCTATACTTTTTTGATAGAGGTAACCATTTGCCACACCATTTTCTGAAAAGTCTCCTCTCTTCTCATTGATTTGTGATGCCACATTTATTGTATCCTAACTTTTGATAACATGCCAGGGTCTGTTTCTGTCCTGTCTTCTCAAAGAGGTTAAATATTTATCTTGTATTAAAATGTTCATAATGATTTATAATTGACTAAAGTTACAATAGTTTTCTCATGTCAAAAAAACCCACCAAAGTCTTAGTCCATTGACTCATTTATGTCTTATCAGCCTTTTTAATTACAAATTATTGCTTAGTCACCACTTTAAGCATATTCTATTTTTTCTCGATTTTATCAATAGATGATGATATTGATGATGAAATGTTTTATGATGATCATTTGGAGGCTTATTTTGAACAACTGGCAATTCCAGGAATGATATATGAAGACCTAGAAGGACCAGAACCTCCAGAAAAAGGTTTTAAGTTACCCACAAATGATCTTAGTCAGGTGTGTTCCAGTCTTTTTGATTTTTCAGAAATTTGACATTAGAAAATTACTATTGGTCTCCTTGGATGTTCACATGAAATGTAAGCCTTTGGTTTTCTTTGGACTCTGTGTTTCCCAGGTATGAATTGATGAGATATGCCTACCCTTTCTTCCTTCTTGGTACCTTTCCCTCACTTACAGAAAATTAAAGGAGTAACACAGTGGACAGCTACACCATCTTCCTCCAGTTTACCAGTTGCTAAAGTTTGCCACTTCTGTGTTTTCTTTCTCTCTCCATAAATACTTTCTTCTCTGAATCATTTGAAAGTAAGTCACAGAGAGTATGACATTTCACTGGAATACTTCAGCATTTATCTTTTGTAGATAAGGACATTTTCCTGCATAACCACAATTCTGTTACCTACCTTTGATATAATAATTTAAATTACTGTACAGTCCATATTCACATTTACCCAATTGTTCCCAGAATGTCCTTTATTCTTACAATTTTTTGTCTACAATTTAATCAAAGATTAACCTTGGCTTTGGTTGTCCTGTCTCTTTATTCTCTTTTAATTTGGAGTAGTTCTTTCATGCCGTGATCTATTTTGTAAAATCTAGGCCCTTTGTTTTGTAGAGTGAACCATAATCTAGTCAGGAGGGAAAAATAACCATAATCTGTTTTCCCTCCCGACTAGATTAGATTAAACATTTTGGCAAGAATACAGATTAAACAGTTTCTCATGAGTGGATTCATGGTAAACGAGGCAGTGTTGTGTACTTCTCATTGCCCTACACCAGAGACGTTTCTCTCTCCCACAATTGGCAATAACTGTTTTTGATAATTTTGGCTAAGGTGATGTCAGCTGTATGTCTCCTTGTGAAGGTAGCTTTTCCTGTTTGTTATTAATAAGTCATCTGTGGGATGAAATATCAGCCCTTTGATCATCTTATTCCCCGACAACCCTTCACTAGCTGGCTTCAGTGTCCTTGCTGACTCGTAGAAATACTGATTGCTCTCGTGGTGACAATGGCAATTTTTCTAATTCCTTCTACATTTATTTTCTGGCATCCTTCAGTAAAGCCACATTTTCTCCCTCAAAATATTTCAGTTTAATTTAAAAGATTAATACAGCTAAGATATTTTTTCAACAGGCAAATGAAAATGGTAGCTTAAACTGCAAGTTTCAATCAGAAAATAACAGCTCTCTGATTTCCCTTGACTCACACTCTTCTGAAACAACTCACAAAGGGTCTGAGGAAAGCCAAGTTTTTTGTCTACCTGGGACTAGTAAGTATAGAAATATGATTCTTTTGTTCTTAAGTTCTAGTTTTGAATTTACCTTTTTTTTTTAACTTTTTTTTTTTAATTATACTTTAAGTTCAAGGGTACATGTGTATAACGTGCAGGTTTGTTACATATGTATACATGTGCCATGTTGGTGTGCTGCACCCATTAACTCGTGATTTACATTAGGTATATCTCCTAATGCTATCCCCCACCCAAGACAGGCCCCGGTGTTTGATGTTCCCCTTCCTGTGTCCAAGTGTTCTCATTGTTCAGTTCCCATCTATGAGTGAGAACATGCGGTGTTTGGTTTTTTGTCCCTGCGATAGTTTGCTGAGAATGATGGTTTCCAGCTTCATCCATGTTTCTACAAAGTACATGAACTCATCCTTTTTTATGGCTGCATAGTTTTCCATGGTGTATATGTGCCACGGTTTCTTAATCCAGTCTATCATTGGTGGACATTTGGGTTGGTTCCAAGTCTTTGCTATTGTGAATAGTGCCACAGTAAACATACGTGTGTATGTGTCTTTATAGCAGCATGATTTATAATCCTTTGGGTATATACCCGGTAATGGGATCACTGGGTCAAATGGTATTTCTGGTTCTAGATCCTTGAGGAGTTGCCACACTGTCTTCCACAATGGTTGAACCAGTTTACAGTCCCACCAACAGTGTAAAAGTGTTCCTGTTTCTTCACATCCTCTCCAGCACCTGTTGTTTCCTGACTTTTTGATGATCGCCATTCTAACTGGTGTGAGATGGTATCTCATTGTGGTTTTGATATGCATTTCTCTAATGGCCCGTGATGATGAGCATTTTTTCATGTGTCTATTGGCTGCATAAATGTCTTCTTTTGAGACGTGTCTGTTCATATCTTTCACACACTTTTTGATGGGGTTGTTTTTTTCTTGTAAATTTGTTTGAGTTCTTTGTAGATTCTGGATATTAGTCCTTTGTCAGATGAGTAGATTGCAAAAATTTTTTCCCATTCTGTAGGTTTTCTGTTCACTCTGATGGTAGTTTCTTTTGCTGTGCAGAAGCTCTTTAGTTTAATTAGATCCCATTTGTGAATTTTGACTTTTGTTGCCATTGCTTTTGGTGTTTTAGACATGAAGTCCTTGCCCATGCCTATGTCCTGATTGGTATTGCCTAGGTTTTTTTCTAGGGTTTTTATGATTTTTGGTCTAACAGTTAAGTCTTTATTCCATCTTGAATTAATTTTTGTGTAAGGTGTAAGGAAGGGATCCAGTTTCAGCTTTCTACATATGGCTAGCTAGTTTTCCTAGCACCATTTATTAAATAGGGAATCCTTTTTTCAGGAATCTTTTGTCAGGTTTGTCAAAGATCAGATGGCTGTAGATGTGTGGTGTTATTTCTGAGGACTCTGCTCTGTTCCATTGGTCTATATCTCTGTTTTGGTACCAGTACCATGCTGTTTTGGTTACTGTAGCCTTGTGGTATAGTTTGAAGTCAGGTAGCGTGATGCCTCCAACTTTGTTCTTTTGGCTTAGGATTGTCTTGGCAATGCGGGCTTTTTGGTTCCATATGAACTGTAAAGTAGTTTTTCCATTCTGTGAAGAAAGTCATTGGTAGCTTGATGGGGATGGCATTGAATCTATAAATTACCTTGGGCAGTATGGCCATTTTCACGATATTGATTCTTCCTATCCAAGAGCATGGAATGTTCTTCCATTTGTTTGTGTCCTCTTTTATTTTGTGGAGCAGTGGCTTATAGTTTTCCTTGAAGAGGTCCTTCATATCGCTTGTAAGTTGGATTCCTAGGTATTTTATTCTCTTTGAAGCAATTGTGAATGGGAGTTCACTCATGGTTTGGCTGTCTTGTTTGTCTGTTATTGGTGTATAGGAATGCTTGTGATTTTTGCACATTGATTTTGTATCCTGAGACTTTGCTGAAGTTGCTTATCAGCTTAAGGAGATTTTGGGCTGAGACAATGGGGTTTTCTAAACATGCAATCATGTCACCTGCAAACAGGGACAATTTGACTTCCTCTTTTCCTAATTGAATACCCTTTATTTCTTTCTCTTGCCTGATTGCCCTGGCCAGAACTTCCACCACTATGTTGAATAGGAGTGGTGAGAGAGGGCATCCCTGTCTTGTGCCAGTTTTCAAAGGGAGTGCTTCCCGTTTTTGCCCATTCAGTACGATATTGGCTGTGGGTTTGTCATAAATAGCTCTTACTGTTTTGAGATACGTCCCATCAATACCGAATTTATTGAGAGTTTTTAGCATGAAGGGCTGTTGAATTTTTTGTCGAAGGCCTTTTCTGTATCTATTGAGATAATCATGTGGTTTTTGTCTTTGGTTCTGTTTATATGCTGGATTACATTTCTTGATTTGCGTATGTTGAACCGGCCTTGCATCTCAGGGATGAAGTCCACTTGATCATGGTGAATAAGCTTTTTGATGTGCCGCTGGATTCAGTTTGCCAGTATTTTATTGAGGATTTTTGCATTGATTTTCATCAGGGATATTGATCTAAAATTCTCTTTTTTTGCTGTCTCTCTGCCAGGCTTTGGTATCAGGATGATGTTGGCCTCATAAAGTGAGTTAGGGAGAATTCCCTGTTTTTCTATTGATTGGAATAGTTTCAGAAGGAATGGTACCAGTTCTTCCTTATACCTCTGGTAGAATTCAACTGTGAATCCTTCTGGTCCTGGACTGTTTTTGGTTGGTAGGCTATTAATTATTGCCTCAATTTTAGAGCCTGTTATTGGTCTCTTCAGGGATTCGACTTCTTCCTGGTTTAGTCTTGGGAGAGTGTATGTGTCCAGGAATTTATCCATTTCTTCTAGATTTTCTAGTTTATTTGTGTAGAGGTGTTTATAGTGTTCTCTGATGGTAGTTTGTATCTCTGTGGGTTCGATGGTGATATCCCCTTTATCATTTTTTATTGCATCTATTTGATTATTCTCTCTTTTCTTCCTTATTAGTCTTGCCAGCGGTGTATCAATTTTGTTGATCTTTTCAAAAAACCAGCTCCTGGATTCATTGATTTTTTTTGAAGGGTTTTTTGCGTCTCTATCTCCTTCAGTTCTGCTCTGAACTTAGTTATTTCTTGCCTTCTGCTAGCTTTTGAATGTGTTTGCTCTTGCTTTTCTAGTTCTTTTAATTGTGATATTAGGGTGTCATTTTTAGATCTTTCCTGCTTTCTCTTGTGGGCATTTAGTGCTATAAATTTCCCTCTACACACTGCTTTAAATGTGTTCCCAGAGATTCTGCTATGTTGTGTCCTTGGTCTCATTGGTTTCAAAGAACATCTTTATTTCTGCCTTCATTTCGTCATGTACCCAGTAGTCATTCAGGAGCAGGTTGTTCAGTTTCCATGTAGTTGAGCGGTTTTGAGTGAGTTTCTTATTCCCGAGTTCTAGTTTGATTACATTGT